GCTGACAGCTGAGTTCCGGGGTAAACCTGTACGCTGAAAGCACATTTTTGCATTTACAGGGGCAGAGTTGTTATGCCACATTTTGACCCATAGCTTTTCCGTAAGTCTCATGCTCACCACATGTGATCCCAATGGGAAATCTGTGCTCAGCACAGCAGACCTATGAATGCCTTCAGTCCAGCTAGTGAGGTGTCATAATCTGGCTGTTGGTGCATACAGAACGTTTGGCTTGCATTTGAGCCTTTGTGCATTTCAAGGCATCTTGTAGCACCTGGTCCGTTACAATGTCCTACAGTGAAGGGCAGTGTTGGCATTCTGTCCAATCAGTTTCAACCCTGCCGAGACCTTCACTGTATTTTCAGACATAGATCTAGCCGTTGCAATTGGTTGTGTGGCCATTTCACAACATCTGGACTACTCGAAGATGTGCCGGCATGGCTGTCTTCTTGCTCAGGTGAATCAAGGAGGTCTGCATTCCCTGTGTCTGCCTCGGAGGCTTCTTGCTCCATTCCACTGTCACAGGAACTTTGGCTCCCAAAGGCCAACATCAAGGCTGTCGCCCTCATCCTCCTTGTCTGCCACCCACACCACTGTTCTGTGATGAAAGGCTGTGATTTACTGTAACGGATCACCTTCACCATCCATGGGTTAGTGGTCTGGTGACTCACTTTAGAACTCTTACAAAACTTGCAAATCAGGTTTTGCATGTGCTGTACTGAATCTGGCTATTTCTACCAGAAAATTCAAAAGAAAACCTTTTTTTACAACAAATCCGGAGGTGATGTGGGTCTGTTGGACCCTCTGTGATGCTCAGATAAAAACATGTAAAACCAGCTAGGTGGAGCACAAAGGTGCATGCAAATCTCATTTTGACACTTTTGCACATGTATACACTCTTTCCCAATTTACCTTTCCAAGTGGGTAAACACATAGTGGTTTCTGTATCCCTCAGGAAATGTACGAGAAACAAAGCTGTTCACCATACTGCTAACGTACACCCTTACCTTAACCAAGTAAGGGATGGGTCCCCCAGACTCAGGCTTATGCCTGGAGAGTTAAAATGTATAGGGATATGTATAGTGGGGGAGATCCTGGGGACTGAATCCAGGGTCTTTTTTTCTTCTTGGTACCGGGGATTGAACTCATGACCTTGTGTTTGCCAGGCAGGTGCTTAGGGTGCTGAGCTAAATCCCTGGCCCCAGAACCCAGTGTCTTAACATGCTAAGCACACACTCACCAAGGAAGTACAATTTAGCACAAAATTTAAAACCAGAGAAAAAAATCTGGGTACTAGCAAGTAATTTTATCAGGGTTTGTGAATGCTGGGTCCTCATCACGTGGGAACCATCAGGAAAGTGAATGCTTGCCTCCTACCCCCAAGACATCCTGAGTTAGAGTCAGAAGCCTGTGATGTTACTGGGATGCCTAACCAAGTCTGAGAACCACTGCCCTAACCAGAAGAAAGTATAAGGGTTGTGATGGAAGCCTAGGTCAGAGGCCCCAGGCTGGGCGGCTGGCAGGCAGGCAGGAAAGGGGCTGTGAACTCTGGAAGCACATGCAGCGGGACACTTCCCGACTGACAGGAGAGAAGGCACAGGGCAGACAGCCTCCTCCGACCCAAAGGCCATGCCATTATGCTCTGCACTTTTGCTGGGTCTCTGCTTCTCCAATCTGTACATTTCTTAAAAACAGGAACTAAAGTTTCAGGAAGGTTTAACTGCCAGCCAATGTGTATTTGTGTGATTTAAAGAATGTCTGTACAAAGGTGTGTGCTTGTTTGTTTGTTTTGTTTTGTCTCATGGCGTATTTATAAATGGAAAAAGCAGAAAAGGCATTTATTAGGTAGGTCCTTACTGTGTGCTGGGTTCGACTCTAGACTCTTCTTTTCTGGTGGACTTTTTTTCCCTGAATGATTTCTCACAACAGTTCTGGAAACAGAAAGAACTTTTGTTCCATACGTGGGGAAACTGAAGCTCAAAGCATTTAAACCACGTTGCCACAGGCCATGAAATGAACCACAGCGAGAGAGCCAGGACTCAGTGGCACTGCCTCAAGCCAAGTGTGGCGTGAGTTCAGCTTTCAGCGCGGCCTCCAGGACCGTAAGATGCCGTCTCAGGAGCTGTGTTGGCCAGCTTCCCACTGCCGAGACACAATTCCAGCCAGACACCACAGTTGAAAGCAGGAAGGGGTTCGCTTGGCTCACAGTCTCAGAGGATCAGACCATGATCGGGTGGCTCCAAGGCAAAAACTGTTTAGGTGAGAAGGTGGGAAGCAGAGCAGGGAACAGTGCAGCGCCCCACAGACATGGACAAGTGTCAGAAATAGACCCCAGGGCTGGGGATTTAGCTCACTGGCATAAGCGCCTGCCTTGCAAGCAGGCAGTCGTGAGTCTGATCCCTGGTACTGATAAAAATGAAAAAGACAAAAAAAAAAAAAAAAAAAAGAAATAGACCCCAAGGCCCCACCTCCCCACACAGCCCCAACAGTTTGCTCCACCAGTCTCAAAGCCAATCAAGTGGACCCTCACACTAACCACCAGGGACAGACTTGTGCTGAGAGCCCTCCACTTCCCAGGCTCCTTAGGGAGGTCCCAGGATGGCTGCCTGTACCCAGGCTTCCCAGGGGCCCAGGCAGGACCCCCTGATGGGCTCCTCAGTTCCCCTGGCCTGGAGGGTTCCATCCATCTCTGTTGTCAGAGGGGTAAATGGCACAAATGAGGAGAAAGCTGATTAGAAACATTTTTTTCCCCCAAGACAATCTTGGTTATAGAAACAATAGCAAAGGCAGGATGTAGTGACACAAACCTGTAATCCCAGCACCCAGGAGGCTGAGGCAGGAGAATTCATACAAGTTTGAGGCCAGCCTGGGCTACAAGTGATTTCAAGGCCAGTGTGAACTGCAGAGTGAAACCCTGTCTCAAAAAGATCAGGCACAGCTGGGGATTTAGCTCAGTGGCATAAGCGCCTGCCTCGTAAGCGCAGTCATGAGTTCGATCCCTGGTACCTAAGACCAGGCACACACACACACAAGCATGTAGCAAAGTTCAAAGAATTAACTACAGTTTTCTAACTTCAGATGCAGAGCACCAACCTTAGATAAATCAGCGTTAAAATGAAAGTCTGTTATTTTTGAACAGTAAAACTAAAATTTCTTTGGGAAGTTGATGTTTTTTAATTAACCAAATGAATGCCTCAGTATAGAATTGCTGTGACAGTATTCTTAGCTCTTTTGTTTTTTTAACTAGGAAAAACTTCAGGCTCTTCCCTAACAAAATTTTCATTGTATTTAATGGCCTTCTTCTGATTGACATGTATTCAAACTGTAGGCTGTGGGTCCTCTAAGCTGAAAACATTTTACCTCCTGCATCCTGTTAACATTTGTATCTCTATGCAGCACTGCCATTGCCATTTATAAAATTGTATTTTTTACAAAATAAAAGTATTGGGCAGGGGATTTAGCTCAGTGGCATAATCGCCTGCCTTGCAGGTGTGCAGTCATGAGTTCGATCCCTGGTACCAATAAAAAAAATTAATTAAAAAAAAACAACCTATTCCTCTGGTGACTCCTCTGTTATCAGTTAACAGAGTCCAAAAAATCCTGGAAAGCCAAAGGTGGGAGTGTGTACCTGTGATTCCAGCTCTGGGAGGCTTAGGCAGGAGCATTGCTGGGAGTTTGAGGCCTGCTTGGGCTTCAAAGTGAGTTGAAGGCCAGCCTAAACTGCACAGAGAAAACTTGTCTCAAAAAGACAGATAAGAAACACTGGAAGGCTCTTGCTAGCAGGAGTAGGCAGCTTTGGCCTGTGCTTGGGAAAGGATGTGCCTCCATGACTCTGTAAGCATTTTGAAGATAGCTAAGCTATATCCATTTTTATACCCCTATGGGCCTTTCTCTGGCTTTGAATAAAAGGAAATGTACTTGTGTGTCATTATGTCCCCCTCTAGTGGTTGCTTCCCAATTAGCCCTTTACCCATGAATCAGCACACTTGGTGTAGGTGGCTTCCAAATGGTTCAGTGTGTAGATCCCAAGGCGCTGTGCTGAGGACAGTGTGGCTGGATGAGAAGAGAGTGCAGATTCTGGAAATAATTACTAGCATATTCCTGACAGAGAAGATGTCAAAGGCAGAATATCAGGAGAGGGGAAATAGGGAAGTCTCAAGTGAGGCTCTTTCATATCCATTTTGTTTCTTGCCCTTTTTTTTAATTAAAAAAATTGTTATGGAGCTAAGGATTGAACCCGGGGCCTCAAACATGCTAGGCAAGCTCTTGGCTGCTGTATTTCACCCCAGCTTTGCAAACCCACTTTCGTCAAGTGCAGTTTTACACCTGCAGGATGGCATGGCTGCTCCTAGCTCTTCCCAGAACGCCAGTGCTGTAGAGGTGGTGTTTGTAAGTGACTTCAGTTTCCCTTTCCTAGGGAAGTAGGCCCAGGCTGGGAGACCTCTAGAACTGACTGAGCTCTGGACTTGCTGGCCCAGCAGTGGACTGCTGACCTGCTGCTTCTCTGTTGCCTGAGGCTGTGTTCTCTCTGCCTGTAAAGGTCACTTGTATCACAATCCTCCCAGGCTTGTCATATCTTGATAAGTATTTTAGAAGGCCAGGCAGGGGACTGGAAGGTCAAGATCAGTCTTTCTTAGACTGGTCTGTGTCTCTGCATCAAGCTTGGGCCCCTGCTGCCCAGGGCCTGACTGAGCAAGGCTTACAGCTTATTCCCTTTTCGAAGAGGAGCTGGCACTGAGCCAGGGTTTGCTGGAGAGTCCCGTTTGGATGAACCCGAATATTTGCATTTCTTATGTAATGTCAGACCCAAGGAGTCTTGGGGATTGGCACTGTTGCAAAGTTCACAGCCAGCTCCCTTTTTCTGCCAAGAAAAGAGGGTTAAAGCATTAAAAAAAAAAAAAAAAAAAAAAAAAAGCCAAAAATCTCAAGGGGAAGTACAGCAAATTCTCAGTCTTGTGAGCCTCACAGTCTTGTTGATTCCACACACCCCAGGACAGAGTATGGAGATCAAAATCTCATCTTTCTTGATGTCATTCAAGATTGCCGCTTCACTTGAATCCCAGTTGTTCCCAAGCAGCTCAGTAGTCCCAAACACTGTATTTCTCCTCTTGTGTGCAGGAAATTTTATACAAAAACTCTGTTGTTAAAAAGAAAAACCGTTCAAATTTTTCGAACATTGAGACAGTTTGTACCTCTTTGTAATTCAGTGAAGTTCATGTTGTTTGCCATTTATTTTTACTTAATTATTGTTGTCTTTTTCCTTTTTATCGGTACCAGGGATCAAACTCATGACTGCCTGCTTGCAAGGCAGGCGCTTATGCCGCTGAGCTAAGTCTCCAGGCCCTTGCCATTTATTTTTAAACTCACTATTTAAAACCAAAGAGATCAAATAACTTACTTAAGCAATGGGTTTTTGTAGGTTTTTGCTTGTGTTTTTTGCAGTATAGGGCCTCACCTATGCTAGGTGTACCTCTACCGGGGCACACACCCCAGCTCACATGTTGCTCCCTTTAGTGATTTGAAGGCACCCAGAGTTGTCCACATTCTGGCTCAATAACAGATCTCAGTAGTTCAGTACCACCTTCTGAGGAAAGCTTTGGAAGCACCAGGTAGAAAATTAGGGACAAGGTTTACTGTTACTACAAGTGCAGAAGAGAAGCTGGGGACAAAGAAGTGACTGAAAGCGGTCCAGGTAGGATGCAGTGTTCCTGACCCACGAGGTGCCATCATCTGCTGTTTCTCATGCTCAATTTTTTAAGTTCCTGTACTGTTGGAATGGCTGTAAAGACCTTTCAGAAGTACTTAGACATCTGAACACTAGTACTGCTGGGTGTCTGGGATGTTTTACTAATGTAACTGCGATCAGGGCTGAAAAATAGAAATTTCAGAGTGAGTGTGCATGTCACTTGGGTTTCTCTGTGGCTGTGAAGGTGCTGTGGGAAAATGGAAAACACGGTCTTTGGGATCTGCTCTCAGCCTCTTCTCCATTTCCCCAATCTTATCATACCTCTAAATTTTTAAAAGTAGAGGGGGCTGGGGATTTAGCTCAGCGGCATAAGCGCCTGCCTTGCAAGCAGGCAGTCGTGAGTTCGATCCCCGGTACTGATAAAAAGGAAAAAGACAAAAAAAAAAAAAAAAAAGTACGGCACATTTTAGTAGAGCATGATGTACAGACCTGTAATCCCAGTCTGGAAGGAAACTGAGGCAGGGGTTTTACAAGTTGGAGTCCCTCCAGGGCAAGTTCATGACACTGTGAAAATACAAAGTAAAAAGGGAATGGGGGGTGCAGCTCAGTGGTAGGGTTCCCGGGTTTGATTCTGCAGGGGGAAAGAAAGACACGATATACTTTGAAAAACAGTATGTAAGCTAAGACACCATCCCTACCGGCACAGCTAAAATTGAATTAGCTGACTTTGTGATCTCATATCTTAACACTCTATCTTAGTCTGTTGTAGTGTACAATAGCAAATGCACAGTGGTTCCTAGCCAGGCTAACCATAGTCCTAGCATTCTGGGAGGCTGAGGCAGGAAGACTGCAAGTGTGAGTCCAGCCTGGGCAATTTTATGAGCTAATGAGATTTAACTGTCTTATATAACAGCAGCAACAACAGAAATATTGGCGGAAGTTAGAATTTTGTTGTGTTACACAAGAGAAAGAACGGGAACTAAATATAAAAGTCAAATTGCCTCTGCCTTTTCCTGAACTTGGGAATGAAAATATGTGATTGCAGGAGGTTGAAGCCTGAATATTTTCTTAAACATTTCTTAAACAACAGGATCTTGAGAGATTCCTAAATAAGAAAAAATTATTTCCTCGATTCTTTTGGAGTTGACACCCCACCCCTAGAAAGTATAATCTTTAAATATCAGAATCAAATTTTAAAAAACTTCTTGCTCCCCATGCCAGGGTTGGAACTCAGGATCTCTTGCATCCTAAGCACATGCTGTACCATGGGTGTATAGCTCCCGTGCTGAAAAGCATGTTACAGATTCTTGGATTCTGCAAGAGCTTGGTTTTCCCAGGTTGTTTTGTTTTGTTTTGTTTTGTTTTTTTATACTGGGAATTGAACTCACCACTCACGTTTGCCAGGCAGGTGCTGTGCTGCTGAGCTGTATCCTCTGTCTGATCAGATAGTTCTTGTTCTGGGTGTCAGTTTCTTGGAGATATATATATATATATCCATCATATTTCAAATGTGCACATTTCAGCTGGATATGGTGGTGCATGCTTATAATCCCAGCACTTAGGGAAGCTGAGACAGGATTGCCTCAATTTCAAGGCCAGCTTGGGCTACATAGTGAGTTCAAAGTTAGCCTGAACTACATAGTGAGACAAAACAAAGCAAAACAGAACAAAACAAACAAAATAATTGTGTATTTTATATTTTGTTTTGATAGAAATTATTTCAAGAAAGTTTCACGTTCTCTTTGTTCAAACAGGGTAACCGAATGTGCAGGTTCTGTGGCGGCAGCTGCCTGTGATTACCACACCTTCCCTGAATTATTTCTGGTTTGGCTGCCCTCACTAGATTTATACCCTCTGAAGAGAAACCAGAGCATAAGACAAAGATTTTTGACTGTTTTCTTTCTCTTGCCCAGGCCTCCACACCAGCTATATTGTTCGGTGCTGGCACCGTACCTACATTCAGCAGTCCATAAACACTGCCTCTAAGCCAGGCTCAGTGTGCAGGACCAGCTCCTCTGAGGGCTGGGGCAGGAGAATCACTTGAGTCCGGGTGTCTGATGCCAGCCTGGGCAATGCAGCAAGACCCTGAAACCCTTTTAGAATTTTCAGTGCTAATAAACAGCTGGCTGTGGCACACAGGTTGTGGGTTTACCCCCACAGTCCTCTATTCTAATTCTCTTCTAATAGAAGAGAAGAGGGAAGGGGAAATTATTTTTTAATATGTGTGTAAATGAATCTAGGCCAGATGTGATGGTGCATGCCTGTCATCCCAACACTCAGGAGGCTGAGGCAGGTGGATCTCTGTGAGTTCATTGCCAGCCTGGGCTACATAGTGAGTTCAAGACCAACCTGAATCGCATAGTGAAACCCTGTCTCAAAAAAAAAAAAAAAAAAGAAAAGAAAAGAAATAGAATCTGTGTCACGGAAGCTATCTGAGGCTTTGTAGGACCAGATCTAGAACTAGAAAAGGCATTTCTGTTTTCATCTTAGTCTTTAATAACTTTTCTTGCTTGCTTCTCTGCTGTGCTGGGTCTGGAATCTAGGACCTCAGGCATGCTAGACTAGCACTGTGCCTGAGAGCTATCCCCAGCCTACTGTTGCCGTAATGCTGCAGAAATGCAGTGATTTTATCACTGGTTGCACACCGTCTCCTGCTGTTCCCTGCTGAACCAAATCAGGCTGCGTGGCCCCGTGCTGTTTTCCATTGACTTTGCAGTTGTTGATATTGGCTTTTAGTGTGGGGCATGTGGTTTCTTTCGACACAAACATGAACACATTTCTTACCACTGAAATTTTCCCAAGGGCTGGGTCATTCCAAGCTGGAAACTCAGCAGGGTGCTTCTTACACCCCATTGTTGCTTTCATCTGGGGGTGCCACTCGTAGCCTAGGCTTTCCGTGGCGTAGCAAATAGGCTACATGTGAGTGGAGAAAGTATGAGGCTTCTTGTATGCAGCCCAGGAGACGAGGAAACCATGGCTCTGCTGCGTGCCGTTTGTCTGTGGAGTATCAGAAGTTCAAATGCAGCCTACCCCAGACTCTACCATCATCAGGGACGCGGCCCTTTTGCACAAAGGCGTTTTTTTGAAATTGAACTTCCAAATGTTTTTGAAACTGGCAGTGTTGTTTTATCTGCTGATAGAACCCAGATGGCACAAGAGGACATTTTTCCGTCATTTGAATCACTGCACAAGCACAGTGTCATCTAGACACAGAAGGTGACTTCAGGACAGTGCTGTGGCTACAGAGCATGGTTAAATTTGGAAAATCAGCAGAGGATTTTTAAAAAGCCTTCTGATTCAACACTTCCGCTTTCCGTGTTTCAAGTACATATCTAGTTACAGGGTAAAAACAAATTTTTGCTCTAGAGCTAGCTGGGCAGAGCCAGTGTCTGCTTGGCCGGTGGAGTTTGAGGACCCATCTGCCTCGCACACCATCAGCAGCTTTGTTTGTTTAGGGCCCCACTGTAGTCTTTATTCATGGAGAAGCAAAAAGAAACTCAAAACAGCCCAGCTGGATTTCCAGGTCCTGTGTGGAATATGTAACCTCTTTGACTTCTCAGCTGAGAAAATTGGATGCGGCTGTCACAGAAAGAGAATGAATGTGGAACCCCACAATGCTGTGCTTGCAGCCACTTTCATTCCATTGAATTTAACACATACTGAAAGGCAGGCATACTCCGGGAAGCACAGGGCTGAAGCAAGGCTCGGAAGCCAAGCAGGTGAGCTGGGTCTGTCTGGGGAGTGCCTCCTCCTGTTACCCTACTGCAGTGTCCCAATTTTAAAACGAAATGACCTATGAAAGAGAAATGCAGATGGCTAATGGACACTTCAAAAATGTATCCCCTCACCGAAAATCAGAGAAATGCAGTGGCATTTTTTTAAAACCAATCATGAGTAAGGATTAAAATGTTTTATATATATATATATATATATATATATACACACACACACATATATATCTTTGTCATTTTAAACTAAAACCCAATTTAGCACTATATTAGGTTGGAAACTCTAGAAAGATTTTATTTTGAAAATGTAATGAATTGCCCAATAAACTTAATGACCCAGTTAAACCAGACTGGTTGACTGTTCAGTAGATGCCAAGATGTTAAAACTGGGAATGGTTAGGGGCTGGGGATTTAGCTCAGCGGCATAAGCACCTGCCTCACAAGCAGACAGTTGTGAGTTCGATCCCCGGTACTGATAAAAAAAGAAAAAGACAAAAAAAAAAAAAAAACCTGGGAATGGTTTTAGGAATTCTTTTTGTTCCCCCAGTGCTGGCGAACCCAGGGCCTTGTGCGTTTGGGCCAGTGCTGTGCCCCTGACCTGCACCTCTTCATTTTCTAATTGAGAAGTCCCGAGGACCTGGAGGAGTTGTGTGACTTGTATGGTCACACAGTCATGTGGCGCTGCATTTGCATTAGTAAAATATGATGTAGTGTTGTTTAGTTCTTGTTATCAATATATGTATGTAGGGTTATACTTACTTAGGATTAAACTTAGGTGTTTTTTGGGTTTTTTTGAGACTAGATCGTGTTAAATCGTCTAGGGTGGCCTCAAGTTTGTGATCCTTCTGCTTCACCATCTTATAAATTTTTGGTGTTGTAGTTTACTGTCTCCTCAGATGAGATGTCATAGACTTCAAAGAACAGAAATTCAGGCTGTGTTCCCTCATTTACTGTCTGTCTTTATCGGATCACATGGCTTGTCACTTCTGTACTTTTTTAATGGGAATAATCCTTGCAAAAGAATTCTCTTTGATAATCTTAGAAAGTACTGAAACAACTGGAAGGGAAAATAAGGTGTTGATATGCTACAAGCGACGTTTTTAGAAGTATACAGATATGTCTAAAAGAATACACGTCAAGGAGTGTGTGTTAGTTAACTTCATGCTGGCTCTTGTAACAAACTCCCTAAATACGAATTGGCTTGCAACTGTGGAGGCCTCGTAAAAGCCAAAATGGATATTCCTGTCAGCAGTTCCCTTCGTGGTCATTTTGGGAGCTGGGCTGCTTTCTGTCTTGTGACTCTGTCTTTGGGCCTGTGTTATGGTTTATATCTAGATCCTCCCCACCACAGCCTGGTGTACTCAGGTGGTCTTTTGGAAGGTGCCTGGACCATGGGTATGTGTACCAGGTTATGGGTGTGTGATGCTGGATTAGTACACTGATGGAAAAGTTATAGCTCGAGTGATGCTGGGGGCGAAGTGGATCATTGAGTGTGGCCGGGGACTGTACGTCCCTCTTTCTTCCTTGATTTTTCTCTGCTTTGTATCTGCCATGCCAGAGATCTTCTCTTCCATGCTGCCCTGCCTTGGAGCCAGCCAACTATGGGCTGAAACCTGTACACATGTAAGCCAAAATAAACTTTTTCTTTTTTAAATGGTTGGTGTCAGGTATTGTGTCTCAGCAAGAAAGTAACTGAGACACTGTAGCTTTATTTTTTTTTTTTTTAATCGGTACCGGGGATCGAACTGCTTGCAAGGCAGGTGCTTATGCTGCTGAGCTAAATACCCAGCCCCGACACTGTAGCTTTAAACTCTGACAAAAATACCTGAAATAAACAATTTAAAAGGAGAAAAGTTTATTTTGGTTCATGGTTTGAATCCATGTTGGCTGACTGTATTTCTTTTGGGCCTGAGGTGAGGCAGTACATCATGGTGGGAGCTCATGGCAGAGGAGACTGTTTACTTCATGCCCTGAATGTGGAACAGAGAAACAGAAAGGGGGCCGAGTCCCAGTATGTCTTTCAGGGGTACATACACCTCCACTTCTCCTAGGCTTCACCTCCTAAAGGTCCTACCACTTCCCGAGAGTGCCACGAGCTAGGTGCCACAATTTTACCACATTCAGGATCCAAACTATATCAGCTTCTCTGTTGTCTGAATCAAAGAAGGAAAGAAAACATGGAGGACTATTCATTGGAGGTTTTTATAGGCCAGACCTGGAAGTCTCAGACATCATTTCTTCTAACATTCCAGTAGGTGGAATTCAGTCGTTTGACCACATCTCAGTGCCCTGGACACGGAGAAGTGCAGTCCAGCTATGTGCCCTTTTAGCGGCCACCCTGTACACTCTACCATAGTAGCTATGGGGAGCCAGAGTAGAGACATCATATACGCGTGAGGCAACTTCTTAGGCAAATTCATATATAACTAGGAATGCGGGAGTGCTGTTTTTTGTTTTTGTTTTGTTTTTAGATAAAGTCTCGCTGTGTAGTTCAAGCTGACCTTGAACTCACTTTGTAGCCCAGGCCGGTCTTGAACTCCCAACCATTCTCCTGCCTCAGCCTCCGACTACTGGGATTACAGGCATGTGTCACCACATCCAGCTAATGCACAAGTTTTCATTTCTGCTATTAACTGAGTTTTTAAAAATTTAATGAAGTTTTCTGCTGACTCATCCTCAGTGGTATCTGTAGTCATGCTGTATATTTTGTGGGGGGAAAGTGGTGACTCTCTGATCAGTGGCATGTGTTTGCAAGATGACCAGATCCCCTAGTGAACAAATCTGTTTCAGACACTAATGTAGTCTTGGAGATGAGGACAAAGGAAGTGAGCTTACCCCCGAAGCCACTGCAGATAGAGTCTGTGGTCAGTACTTTTTTTCCCGCAGGAACCCAGGTCCTTGCACCTGCTAGGCACGTGCTTTTCCACGGAGCCACCGGCAGCCCCATAATCTGTCTGACTCTATTTCAATTCAGTAGTGAGCAAAGGCAGCTGGTCTCAGTACCTGACTGGTAGAGCATAAATATGTTCCTAAGATTTGCCGTTTCCCACCGCCGCATGAAACCCATGATGTCAGCTCAGGCCAATGGTGAATCGGACCACCTCGCTGCCTCCAATCCCCAGACGCTCACTCTCTCTATCATTATTGCCTGCAAATGATCACTAGTTTTTCTAAGTATGAATCTGGCGATGTCTCTTCTCTGTTTAAATGCCTTGGGTGGCTTCTGCAAATTATAGAACAAAGTTGAAACTCGCTGGTATGGCCTCCAAGTCCCCCATGAGGAGTCCCCAGTGTGAAGAAGATTCTGCTTCATGAGAATCAGTGATTTCGTTTGTTTTTAGATTCTCTCTCTCTCCTCTCTCTGTCTCTGTCTCTCTTCTTTATAGTTGGGTTTTGGATATGTTGTTTTTGTCATTCCTAAAATATGTAACATGTTTTTCAGGTCCCTGTGACTTTATTCAGTGGGCGAGTTTTTTTCTCCTATCCCCATCTGTGGCAGTGCTGTGTATCTTCTTAGGAACATGTTAAAAAATCTTTGTCTTGAAGCTTCTCTACCTTTGGAATTGTTTGGTCTTTCTTAGGTGTTGGAATAGCAGTCTGTACCTCCATGATCACATCTCTCTGCTAAACATTATAATATGGTATATGCTTTTCTCACCTCTCTAAGATTAGAAGAATTTTGTTTGTTTGTCTGTTTTTTATTTTTTTGAGACAGAGTCTCACCATGTAGTTCAAACTGGCCTTAAGCTCACTTTTGTAGCCCAGACTGATCTTAAACTTCCAGCGATCTTCCTGCCTCAGCCCCCAAGTGCTGGATTACAGGAATGTGCCACTATGCCTGGCTCATAGAAGAGTTTTTGTTATTCATCTTTGTGTGAGACCTAGTAGCTGGTCAGTAATATTGTTTGATTTGAATTACAGTCACAGAAACAATTCCATTTAAATTACTTTGTGGCATTTTCACTGGCTCTCAATTTTTTCCCTTTATCCCAAGCAGCAAATACAAAGTAGCCCCATGTTTAGTTCTGGTAATGGGAAAATTTCAACTACATTACAGAGTGTGTGCTTCTCCTAATGATGATGTAAAGATGAGAAGTAGAGGTTGTCATTTGGGTCATCTCTGTGACTGGTGAGTGGACTGTGGATCCTGAGTCGTACGTTACAGAGTTAGTTAACGGTGCCCTGTATACTCGAATATTTTTCATGTGCTGCTATAGAAGCTCCAGTTGCACCAAATGTAAACACCGGATTTCAAATGGACCTTTATGTTTTTGTTTTGTTGTTGTGCTTGTTTATTCATTTGTTTATCTTGACAAGGTCTTGCTATGTAGGTCAGTCTGGCTTTGAAGTCACTATGTAGCCCAGGCTAGCCTTAAAAATACAGCAGTCCTCCTGCTTCAGCCTTCGCTGAGTGGGAATTACAGGTGTGTCTCACCACACCTAGCTTTTGGTGTTTCTCTGACCAATGATTCATGGCCTTGCTTGGTTTCCACTCCCAGACCAGCTGAAATGCTCTGTAATCTCACTATCCAAAGCCACAGCCCCTGGCCACATGTGACTGCTGAGCATTTGAAGTGGGGCTCCTGCAATTGAGGAATCAAACATTTCACTTTATTTTTATTTAAATAGCCACATGTGGCCAGACGGTGGCAGAGGGGATGGTTCCTTCATGGCAGCCAGAAAACAGAGAAAGAGCCAGAGAGAGAAGGGGGTCCAGGGATCAAACGACCCCCTCAAGGGCACCCCCACAGTGAGCTCACTTCCTGTCACTAGGCTCCACCCCTGAAAGTTTCCATCGCCCTCCAAGAGACCACTCAGCTCTGAAGCCACCAGTGGGTTGATTTATTGATAAGGTCAGAGTCCTCTGATCCAATGACCTTCCCAAAGCCCGCCCCTCACAGCAGTGCTCCGGGGACCAAGCCTCCAACACACAGGCCTTTTGGGAGACATTTTAGATTCAAACCCTAACAGCTAGGTACTCCTAGGCGCTC